AATAATAAAATTTGTATTATTTTTTATTTGTGGGAAAATCCCATTTCTACAAAAGATCCAATTTTCATTTTTACATTATTCTTTTTTCTATTCATTTTTCTTATACTTTTGGCGCCTCGTTAGTCGTTTGGGGGCCTATCTTCCAAAATAAGTCGGGTTTTGCCGACTTCCCGACCTGGCCAGACCGGACATGAAGAAGCACAATTAGCTCACAGTTTTCATCAGGAGTTCCATATTTTACCACCGTCTCCATTAATTTATTGTTATTGCGTTGATGAACCATTTTAGTATATTTATTCGCACAAAATGCAGACGAACACTTCTTTTTATACAGGGAAGATTCCGGAGGTTCTCAAAAAGTTTTAACAATTTTTATTATAATTAATTTTAAACACCGTTTTGCTCATTCGTAAGTCTTGATTATTCAAGATGCTTATCATTTATTAATGTTTTTTACTTTTTAATTTTTCTCTGGGAACACCTTGTATACGTGAGACGAACTATTCGGGATTTTGTCTCAATTTTTCTAGTTCACATGTCATGGGTTATTATCATTGTTTCTAGGTCATATTATTGCTCTTACGATACTTTTTGGCCTCTATTAAAGTATGATATTTCAGGGTAAGAGAAGATAAAAATATGTATAAACCGATTTGACGCTATCTAGGAAGATTAACAAAGTGTTAAAAATATAATTTGGGAAAATTCCAAGGTATTCTGTCTGGCTTTAAATATAGCTAACTATATTTTAGTTATACCGGGTTTTTGTTAAATATAAATATCGGTATAGAAACGGGTACATTCCAATTATAAATACGTAGAAAAAAAGCTAAAAAACAGAGATTTTCAGTGTCACTATCACTTAAAAATTTTAAAACCGACATTGACATATTATGGGTTGAAACAGGGAATCGCCTTAAGAACAACAGGGGTTAAAATTAGCTAAAATGTTTATCTAAAATTTTTGTAAGAGAAAAATATTTTTTAGTAGTTTGTGGGTTACACATGAGAAACATTTTATATTAATTTTTTTCATCTTTTTTCGAATGTAAATCTAAAAAAAATTATTAATAAAATACCAGGTATTTACTTACCTTAATTGCGTTCTAAAAAAAAGGTAGGTATTTGTATTTGCAATATTGTTGTAATTAATTCTTCTATTCATTATTTATAATATACTTGTGTTCAGTGGCGGGTCTTGACTTCCATACCAGGGAGGGCGGAAAAATTTAGATACCAATTTTTGAAAAAAAAATCAAATATAAGTGGGTGGGTTTTAAGTACTATTGTAATATAGGGAAAATGTACTCAACATTATATTTTTTTATAGTCAAAGTGCTTTCTTCTGCTTTTGTCCGAAATAAACTTTTCAAATACTTTTTCATTCAAGCTTGATATTTCTCGCACCATTGACTTTTCAATAGATAGCAATGCTAGTGCTACAATCAATTTAAACATTTACAATTTAAAAAAAATGCACAAGAAACAATATGTAAGTAACACATTTTTTTACCACACCTGAACCTGAAAAAAAGGGGTGAATGGTTACTGCATAGTAAATATGCGTTACTCCCACTTCGTCCTTCACAGCTGTGTGGCGGACCGTCCCTGACGGTAACCATGACCACCGTTGTAAACACTTTACATATGTAGAGATATGTAGAGGCGAGCTACGAGGAGTCCACATATTCAGAGATTTGCAAACGAATTTTGCAAGTCAAGTTACACTGACTGCACATTACATAAATTTAACATTTCCTTTATAATGTGTTTCATAAGGCTAATCTATTTAATTATGTTGATAACATTGTAAACTAAATTTTAAATTAAATATCTAGGGGGTGCGGCACCCCAGAGCCCCCCGCACCAGCCGCCACTGCTTGTGTTTAAAGACAAATTTAGTTTGGTTTTATATTAAATAAAACACTAGGGTAATTAATGCACAAACATTTTAATATAAACTTAAAAATCGTACAACAATATGAAAAATTATAGACTATTATACACATATTACTTACGTAATATACGGGATGGAAAATCCGCTCTCACTATATTTAATATAATATAGAATAGATTTACTACTAGTTAGTCACAATAATAATCAGAGATATAATAAACTAACACAGATAGTGACATTTACATACACGAATAGGCCCGAACAGGATCATCCCTTAGTCCTTTTAGGTCTAAACGAATCTAAAATCTCTCGAGCTACGTATTTTAATACTAGGGAGATTGCAAAAAGTAACAGATAATTCATTTAAATACGAATTTGACTATTTAAAAATGATTTACTCCTAGAACAAGGACTAATTCTCTCATCCTGTTTCAAGTTTACTAACCTACTGTATCTACGATAGTAAAAAAGAGCCATCACATTCCTTAGGGCGTCAGTCCCTACTTATATTGTAGTTTTAAAAGACGACGGGTTACAGACACTGAACACTGGCATTCACCGTCATTGATACCGAAATCCTCGCGCCACATCAACACAACCTACTCCCAAGGACGCTTTAACTCATACTACAGTGATCGTACTGCACGAGTTTCACTTGATTTTTTGCAATGTTTGTCAGTCTTTTGTCCTTGGAACCCAATTCACTTTTGTGTCGTAACCCGTCGTTGGGCCAGGAAAAAACCGGCCTAAAATTTACTATATAAAATGTCTACAGAGTAGTGTATATGTACGATTACAGGATACATGAATTAAAAACAACAAGTAGATAACTAGGACTATATACAGATCTTAGTAAAATGCAAGTACGTACAAGCAAGTATATAAAATAATTGAATAATCTATAATTATGGATCATGTACATTGTGTAGCTTGCGACTGGACGATGTTAAGGTATTACCCCTATGAATCCCACTTCTGATATCGCTTCCGTCCAAATCCCACTTCTGATTCATAAAAGTAATATCTTAACACGCCAGTGTCTTCACAGGTAACGCATACACCATTGGCGAATAGCTTACCATCCTATCGAGAAGGCAAACTTATCCCGTATGAAAAATCTTTCGGCGTCCAGACGAATCGTTTGCAGCTTAAAAAAATACTTTGTATCACGTGGAGGGAAAAATCTACCTAGCAACTTGTCTCATAAGTGTATCAATTTATCCCGAATTCTACTATATCAAGTTGTGCTAGATCTCTCTCGGTTGTTCCAGTAAAAGAATACTATCTAAACTACCTACGTTCCATAATGTTACATTGATGTTTCTCCCACTACGACGTTGAGTGGTACTGATCAATAAACCCGCTGCAAGTGCATTTTTACGACGCAGTTTGGCTCACATCTTGACCTCTCCTAGTATTAACATTAATTCATTCAAATTGCTTTGCCAACTCTATTGTATGAACATAATACCTACCACTCAACAATTAATTATTTGTCCACGGGTTGCCAGATTACGTTTATAAATAATGATTTAGAAAATTGTACACTACTATTAAATTACGTTAAAAATATAGAAATAGCATTACTCTTTTATCATTTACTTTTCGATTTTTTTTTAAACTTGTTCTGTATCTAATAAAACTAGATCAGATAATTAAATCAGGAGGTTAACAAATGGCTTACTCAGAGTCTGGCAGACAACAAGCTTTTGTTTTTTGCACTCCACTAAACTGCAATGCACAGCCAACTCTAAATTGGGGCAATCAGTCCAATCTGGCAACGATTCAGTTGGTGAACTGATCAATACTGGTCGCACTATTTTTCCATGCAGAGAGAATATATTGCAAAAACACAGAGTCATGCAGACGTTCACATGCATCTATCGACTATTTCCTGGATATTCACCGACTTATTTGCCTCTTACACAAGTATCACTATCAGATTTTTATCACTTGCAGTGATATTCTAAAGCAGCAATCACATTTTTGAAAATTTCAGGTAAATTTTCAAGTCATTTGTAGGGGTCCGCCAAGGACGATTACCTGAACAATATTTATCCCCTAAGCGTATTTCGCACGTCATTTTTAGCACTCGCAGATTCCCGCTCTTTGCCTATTTGTCTGGAGCAAATAATAAAAGAACGAGATGACTAAAGGATTGCCCCGAAAATCCCACTTCTGATGTTCCCCCGAAAATAAACACTGCCGGAACAAAAGTGACTTCGTTCTGTACTGGATATTTTCGTGCTAAAAATCAATTCAACTCGACTCAAGCTGGCGGTTGCGATAAAATTGTAAAGGTAAACGTTTGGCGGAATAAGCGTTTTATTTATCAAATTTTGATTATTCGTTGAAAACATGTGTACTTACAATAGTAACGAATTAGCTAGTACGTTGTGGGCGACCTTTAGTGACGTCACAAATGGTAAATCACGAAATGCTGCTAGAGTTCTATAAACCTTGAAATTATACGTGCTTTACTGACCGCATTATTCGTGTGTAATCGCCTTTATCGCTACGTGTTAATTGCCTTTATAACAAGTGTTAACTAAAGCTGAAATGCAGTACCAGAGAAGTAACAGTGTGCACGTGCCTTTATGAATCAGCTAATGTTTGGTTTGGAATTAACGAAATTTGTTTATTACTCTAGAGATTGTGTGTTCACACTTTTTAATTCTTTGAGTTGTTTGTGTATCGATTTCGTGATTTGGGCGAAGTGTGACGTCACAGTAAGGACGTCGCCGACCTATAATGATATAGTAACAACCTCAGGTACGCATAAAACAACATAGTGCAATCAAACTATCGGCTCATAACAAAATATATATTATATTAAAGTCAACAATTTTATACAAATAAAAAATAAACATCAGTGAAAAAAGTAACAAAAAATCAAGCAGTAAAAAATAGCACGTTATCTCTTAGTTTGAGAAAGGAAGCATCTAGGACCCATGGGGCTGCGACATGCAATACTGACTGTGTTAAGCCGCGTTTACACAGTTGCCGCGCGACAGTTCGGTTAGTTACGTTACGCTAACGTTACGGAATATCACAAGTTCAGTACCTATAAAACAGATCGATTATTGCATAGTCTAGGAAGAGCTTTTCCACGCTTGGGGCGGTGGCTGTGTAAGAGCGGCTTAGTTCTAATATTACATAAATTTTTGGTTTTATAGGACCCAACATGATATGCCAACACTTATTATAAACATGTATAATTTAATGGGACTAGATGACAGCTTGAGCTTTTCATACAAAAATAAAAAAATACATACAATATAAAAAATTTGGGAAACACACTAGACTACAAGAATACTGTAAACACCATATATAAAGTAAGAAACATCTATCAATCTAAACTACCACGACTTTATAAAAAATCTAAAGTATCAAGCTGGGATCTCTTTCTTATAATATATAAGATAATATAATAATTTATGTTGATTATTACTAAGGCTACAGCCGTTCTACCTCTTCCTGGGGGATGATTCTAATGCGTGCGAGGTGCGAGATGTTATGGACCGAATCATTACATGGACAAGGACTGTTAACAGGACCACGTAAGAAAATATAATTCAGTTACTACACACCATTCAGGCAAAATATATAGATATTATTTACACAATTCAATAGTAAAAATAGATTTTTATAGACAAATTCAACTAAGTTTGTGCCAGACAAACGTACATTTCACTACATGATATTCAAGTAACAAGTATAAAATTGGCTACACCTCTACCTAGCTCGAAACTGTTTTGAATGGTGTCTATTAAGTATTAATTTACCCTCTAAATTAAATCTCTTCTACAAAAATATATAAATAATATTAAGTTATATTTACAAATCATTAATTATATTAGAGAGATCATAACTACCCCACAGCTAGGAGCCTTTTAGCTACATCTTTTTAGGATACAAACTTACGCGCTATTTTATTTACACCTCACTAAATCTCGACATTTTTGGTTACGATAATTTTAATATAAAATTAAGGAATAGGAACTGGAAATACGAAAAGAACTGTTCCTGTTCGTCAATTAGCCAAGGTCATGCACATTTCGGCCTTCAAAATCATCGTAGGCATATGATCTCACGGTGCGTTTACACCTACACCAAACTCCACCAAAAATTCGCCCACAATCTCATCATTAGGATTTTACTCATTTAGATTTCATCATCTTACTCGATACGGTATACTGAGAAATATTAATACGGTTTTTTTAAATTTTTCTATTTTTTTTAACGTTTTTAACGTCAATACTAATCATTTTGCCCCTTTTTAGTACGAAAAACCAGCGCGCGTGCTTTTGGTTGAACTTTTCAGTTAAGGTGGGAGTTGTTGGGCTGGCCAGGTATTGTAAACGCAGCCTTAGCGATGGTACAAGGTCACGCCGTACGCCTAAACGATCTCTACAAACCTCGGTACATCCATGTAATGATATTAAAGACACCTCTGCGATGCGCAGACGGCGGTGGCGCCGCCTTCTGGGGAATCACCGAAACAAGAAGGGGTAGAAAGGCTTAAGTAATTGCAGGTAACCGATAGGAGGAGGTCCCTTGCCTATGAAGACCCTCAGTTGGCCACCAGCAGGTGTTGGTACTGCCCGGCTGCGGGGTAGGACCAGTTACTGTCCAGCAGCTTGCCATTGTCCTGGGGAGTGTTGGGGGTGGATGGTGGTGCACCCACTGGACCGTTGTTGGGGTAGTAGGGACCCAAGGGAGTGTGCTCGAAGGGCAGCTTGCTGGAGTAGAGGTCGGGGCTTAGGTATTGGCTGGAAGACTCGAATACGGAGCGGGGGGGAAACTGGTGGGGCGGGTAGTGGCCGGGAGGGAAGTAGTACGCCGAGGGGTCGGGTGAGAGGGCCCGGCCCGCGGGGGAATGGTGAGGGGGCTGTTGGTGCAGCTGCTGCTGCAACGCGCGCTGCTTGATGTAGTTTGAGAACTCGGTGGGGGACATCCTGGAACAAAAGAAAGTCACGATTAAAAACAATGTCCTTTCCGACTGACTTATTGCAAACTCGTAATAGAAATTGTAAGATTGGAAACAGAAGATAGCTTCCAGTATCTACTGATTTGGATCCAAGTTAATTTTTTGCAAAGTTGGTTCGGTAAGAAGTAACGAATAAGATCGTTTCTCTTTTTTATAATTTTATTTAACACATTTTATCGTCTTGTGTAACAAATTAGGTATAAAATACTTGTATATTGACGTAGTTTCCGTATTAGAACTATTTTTCTAGTAACTGTAAAGATGAATACAGATCCATTTTATGATTCTATGATTCTAATTGTCATAAATAATTCCAAGTAAGGCCGTTTTCACACTAGCCGACACGACACCGACACGACAACGACAACGATGCCGGTGGATGCGTAATCTCATGTAAATAAATAGTCATGTTTTCACACTCGCCGATATGTCGCTATCATGTAGTGACAGGCTACTCCACTCATGTCGTCGCTCATTTTGTGTCGGTATCGGTGCTGTGCTGATGTCGTGCCGGTGCCGGTGTCGCTACATGTGAAAACGCCCTTACAATAAGTCATTTCCTTACTACTGCACTTTTCTTAATACCTATATGAGCCAAATCTAACAATAAGTTTTGCTCGATACAAAAAAGGCTATAAATCAAACGTAAAACACGCAACTTATTTAAAACCCTTGGAAATATTACATGACAATATCCACTTTGGTGTTAGGAACCAAATTCAGTTTCATTCAGAATAGGCATTTAGATATGCAGGCACCAACTGATGTAATATACGAGTATACGGATTTCTTAAAAATCATAAGATTTTGTCAAACCGGTTATCTGAAACAGATTTTTCGATTCACTTTTGCAGTTACTTAATTTATATTTAACTAATAGAAGTCAATACAATGGTTCACAAGTTCTTTGGATTTCTAGCCCATTTCGGTGTACCTCATGGTTCCGTTTTGGAATCATGATTATATAATTTATTTATATTTATAAACAGAGTAAAATTCATTTCAGTCCTGAGTGTAGGATGCGCAGCAGCAAAGTAGTAGTGCTTTATGCTGATGAGTTGAAAATTTTTCACCACTGTCAACCATAAAAGACTATAAATTATCTACTTTAACTTTTACAATTACAATTTAAATAACATAAACTTATAAAGACCAGTCAGTTCTATTATCTCGGTGTCATCTCCCACATTTTTCTGTACAAAATTGTGCATGACAGTTCTTCGGGGTATTCTTTAATGATAATAATTATGAACATTCCACCTACAGAAAGAGCGAATTAACTTCTTCTAAAGTTCTCCATTGCAATGACATTGACATGTTTAGTTGCAGCCTGCAACCTTTATAGTCTCAAATTGTGTTTTAAACGTTAGTTTTATTAGTTTATGTTAGATTGATTTTTTGTTTTATTATTGTTTTTCTTTCAACGTAGTATTTATTTTATTTCATTTTACACCATACACAAACATAAATAAATAAAAGACACGTGTAAATGTAAGAATTATATCTAATTCTGAGTTTTCAAAAATTATGTCATCATTCCGACACTTTAATGTTCTGAGTAGTTCGAATGAAATTTATAGGTAATATTTACGTTATTTATTGACTACATTTTATAAATATTTTATATTTTAAACACAATTTTACCTTTGGAAACGATCTTATTTTATGTTGTTAAAAACGAAATAATGACATAACATGTTTTGTTTTTCATTTTCAATAATTATTTATTATTTTTATACCAAACTTCCGTGCTGAATTTTAAGATTACCACTGTCGGTACTTTTCTAAATCCGAGGTATTAAAGGAAGATTTATACATATCCCTATATCCCTGTCACATAAAACTTATCTCTTAAACTTCTGTGTTCCACGGGTAGCATAAAAAAAGGTACGAAAAAGTTTGTTTTCACATTAGTCGACACCGGTGCTCTGGCACTAATACTAAAATGCGTGAAAAGGGTCAAAGTGGACTTTGGGAACGGACAAACAAACTTTTTTTTTCCGCCTTATCAAGAATTTGTTTGAATTATCCATATACAGTTGTGGATTATCTTAATTGTCGTAATAACGAAAGTATTTATTAAAACGTAGAAGCAATACTACAGTTGATTTCATATCTCTAACGGCGACACAATTGTAAATATAAATAATCCCGAGACTGAAGTTTTAGTATTTATCTTACCGTGCAAAATTCCAGTTATTAAGATTATTTTGGCTATCTGTGAAATATGCGTCAACTAATTACCATGTATAAAATCGTGCGTAAAAAGTTGTTTTAATTTGCAAACCAACATTAGCTATTAGGTTTTTAGTTGCCAGTGCCAGTTCTGCAATGTTGGTTGCCTAAGCTCAGCGGTCATGTGGCTTGTAAACATTTATGAAGACTGTATAATTCTTTTAATATGGGACCACGAATTAGCATTTTGTCACAACTTTAAAACGGTTTGAGAGTTAGCTGCTATGCATTTTTATTTGTTTGAAACATATTACTAGAATATACAAGAAAGATACATACAGGGTGTTATTTTAAGCCCCCACGCCTTTGACTGCCCCGTAACTTATTTAAATGTGTGCCTGTGGCTATTTAAATTTATTTTCTAATACAAAATTCGTTTTTTAGTACCTACATATTTTGTATCTCTTGTGAAAGTATAATAACTCCTTCTTGTATGTATCTTCAGCATGGAATGTGTCGAAATACTGTAAGTATTTGAAATAACGGTTTTTATACATGAAAATAAGAAAACACTTTGTCCGTAGTAGATTTAGAAAATATTTTAGAAAGCACTTTTATATAATAGTCCAATCAGCAGCACGACAACATTCGTTCCGAACCTATCACCAGGTTCAACAGTGGTATGGAGTTGGAAAAAATGCAGAGCGGTGAGGATGGAAAAAAAAGCAAGAATGGGCTAATTCCCAACTCCAGCAAACTTGCTAAAACTAATTTATTGTAAATGTAAAAAAGGATGTCGGGGAGCCTGTGGATGCAGAAAGGCTGGACTAAAGTGCTCCGTTATCTGCGCGAATTGCAATGGTAGGTACCTGCGATAATTCGGATGTTGATCTGCAAGACAGTGATGAAGAGGAAGATACGGAGACAGTTCTTCAGCAAACCTTCGACGAAATCAAGGAAGAAGGTGAAGTCGAAGAAGAGAACCCTATCTCGGATAATTTGAAAAAACTTCCTATCCATGAGGATTTGTTCAGTTCTGAAGACGAAGAACTCGCAAAACCTGGTCCATCAGGGATAGCGAAGCGAAAGAGAATGCACTAAATTTAGTCAACAGTGCATCATATGTGGATAAGGCCTACTGGGGATACCACTAAAAAAAACGCGCCAGGAACTCTACCTCATGGTGGCGTGGAAATAAGTTTGTTGGCCAATACGCTTGTTGGAGTAGACTTTGCGGCGCTTGTACGATGAAACTATTCATTTCACAGAAAAAAGGTTATTACATAAATTATAGGAAATGTTCTCTAGTTTAATTTATTACCCAACTATTTTCACCGTAAAGTGAGTCGGAAAGGAAATATCGTCCAAAAACTGTTTTGGAGCGCCATTTTTCCAATATGGCGGCTACTTCCGGAAAAAAAAAGAGGTGGCAAAGTAAAAATTCGGAAAGAGCACGTCAAAATCTATAAATATACCAATTTTCAAAACTCCCCTAAACCTTCACAGGCAAAACTAAGAAAGTTTATTTTCTTTCTTATTTTGATGTATTATGCAATTTGTTTTTCAAACATAAATCTTTTTTAATCGACACTATTAGCTAAAAATTTTTAAAAATTTGCAGGAGGCAAAAAATAAGTAGTTAATATTTAAAAATGAATTTGGTATAGAAAAATACACTTACACTTAATATGAGGTGATCAAACTTCCTTTTTTATTTTGATGTATGCAATTGTTTTTTCAAATTTAAAATCCCATATTTCAGTGCCAAAGATTTATCTTTTTTAATCGACACCCCTATTAGCTAAAAAAATTCGCAACAGGCCAAAAATAGGTAGTTAATATTTAAAAATAAATTTGGTATAGAAAAATATAATTGATATAGCTTACACTTAATGTGAGGTGATCAAAAAGGGAGGATTAAAAAAATATATATCCTGAATGTCATTTTCTTATATATTTAGTAATTTATGACACTCAAATAAATAAAGACGCATGCCAACTAAGAAATTTTGGCTAGTAAAAGTTTTAAAATAAAAAAAGTATTGTTCTCTCATATCAAGAGGGCTACATCCAAGTAGGCGCTGACCACAGACCACCGCGCTGACTTTTGTGAAAGTAATTTGGTCTAGACATATTTCAAACTGAGGAATATCTGGCCTTACGACGTTGCCCATATGCTTCAAAGACACTATTGTATATGTGACAGTTTCTGTCAGATTATCAATTTTTAACCCGTTTGATCTTCATAACGAGTTTTTGTTATTATCAGACTAACCTAACTTTTGTAATTATGAGTTGCTCTCTGTTTTCTTAAGCAATAAAAAAAATTATATGACGATCATACAATATAGGATGCTCTCTATTTAAGTTCATTAATAATATAATTTGTTACTTAGTCTAGCTCAAGTTTACGGAAAATAAAATTTATTTTTACGACACTTTTTAGTGTTTTTTAACTCTCATTGAAAAAACTAGATTTTAAGGTTACGTTTTTTTATACGACACTTATTTGACGTGTCTTATAGTCATTTCCAAATTTAAATTACCCAGTAATAACTCTTATTTTGTCAAATAAATCTTAAAATTTCACGAATTTCACCAAATAAGTTAATCCTAATGATTTGATGGTGTGACAATCAATTTTCAAAATGACCTCATGATACTATTTTGATCAAACATATTTGACGAGAATTTGATAGTCTCACACGAGCATTAGTATTAATAATTTAGGAAATAGAAATTTCTTATATTTATTATATTATTTCTTTTATTTTATTATGAACAGCGATTAAAGTTTTAACATGATACGTTGAATTTATTGAACGGTACTCGATAAGATAATAGAAAAATGTGTTCCCGAACAATTAAGTATATTAACTATACTTGATGAGAGACGACAGTCTTTCATTTTTTTAAATCCCATACAAAACCGATGCAATGGCAGAAACAAACAACTCACCTGTTGGCCCTTTTGCTACTGGTCTTCAATTTGGTGCTGCCGAATTTCGTCTGGGCGAAGGTGGCCGTGGTGAAGGTCAGTGGGGTGGTGGTCCGGGGGATGAAAGCTGGCACCGGGGACGGCGAGCCCTTGAAGGAGTTGTTGAGGGTCGGCGACGGTGCCGATGAGGGCGACGATAGGTGGTTGATGGCGTTGGGAAGAGGCTGAGCGCCGTTCTGCTGGGCCGGGGGCATCTGCTGGGGCAGTTGCGCCCCCACAGGATTGCTCTGGGGGTTCGCGGCAAATGGCGTGATGCTCTTGGGCGACAGGCTGAGGTTGTTCATGCTGGAACTGACGGATTCGATGGGTCGGAAGCACTGCGCCTCTGGGTTGAAGGTCTTGGTCACCTCCCTGTCAGCTGAGTTCTCGTCCTGGGGATCGGCCTTGTCGCTGAAGAGGACCTGCAAGTAATAAGGCCAATTAGAATCTGGTCGAATCCATTAAAAAATTGTAATTTAATAGAAGATTACAGAAAACATTACTAACCTTCACTGCTCCCTTCTCGCCGATCCTGTAGCTGACTTCACCAGGATCCACCCAGACGGCGAGCTCTTGGGGGAGATTCTCCAGGATGTCCTGGATAGGAACCCCGCTCTCCCTGGCGGCGCGCTCCAAGACCTTGTCGATGGGGTCTCCGGTCTTCAGGCATCTGAAGGCGGACCCCTTGAAGGGCTTGTCGGGGTACCAATGCCCTTGGAATTTGTCTTTTAAGGCTTTCTCCAATTCTTCGCCGAAAATGTTGACCCGCCTCCTGGGTAGTTTGTTGTACAGGTACGATATCACGAAGTTCAGAGCTACTTGTACTTCTATATGCATCTTGAGTAGTTACTGGTTTCTATCTTCTTCGAAAGACTTAATGAAACATTTATTTCACTTTTCAACGCGTTGAGGTTCAGTTTTACTCCGGTTCTTTTTCGAATTTAGGTACGTTTCTGAAACAAATGGAAAAACATGTAATCGTGAGCAACACGTTCGTGATCTAATTAAAACAATAAGTAATAACAAACACGGTGATAGGCAATAATAATCAACAACTTTATTATAAATTAGCACACATGGAGGTTTTATTACTGCTATTAAATGGATTGGAAAATTTAATTATTTTCCAACAATAAATGTTTATTTTTATGCATTCTTCGCAATCTCGTCAATAAGTTTTTGTTTTTTTTATGGATTTTTTTATTACTGCGGAACGAGATAAATAACTGTGTGAACGCACAGCATTAGAATCTAGGTTTTGTTTTATTTTATCGTTATTCTATGCCAAAAGATTAAAAAATGAAGCAGGAATTGAATTATTCAAAAATAAATTTATTACTATAAAAAAGTGTAATAAAATAAAATTAATCATAGAATGCTGGTAGAGAAGGGGTAAAAAATGGGAATTCCTAGAGTGCACGGGAAATCATAGATTAAGGAGTTGGTAGAACATTAAAAAGGAAAATGATTTTTTCCTATGGCATATTATTTCTTGTTTATAGGGCTCAAAAGACTTATTTAATAAAATTTTAGCTATATCTATAGTGTATTTGTTCTATTTCCACTCCGTGGAAACTTGGATATTGCAGAATTATCCATTACATTTTAAATGTGACCGAATTGAAATCATCGATTTCAAATTCACATTCTCTTCTGCATATAGGCAACCAAATGTATTCGAATGAAGCTTTGACATAGGTAGCTATTTGAGTTAGCTGGGGTTTGAAGGTTAGAAGTGTGTTAAAATACAGTGACGCAGTGTCTTTTTGCAACAAACATGTCATTAATTCCTTAATTCTGACTAGGTGTTGAAATGACGTATATTTATTTGTAACTCTAACATAGTATTTTTCGTTGTACATTTGTATAAGTCGTTTAGTGTATTCGCTGCCAAAAGTTAAACCTAGTTTAGTAAGGAAGTCATTTGTATTCATTTGAATGATGACCTAATGTTTCGCTTTCCTAAAAATGGAATTTGTTCATTAAAAACAGCGAAATGAGTTCAAATAAAAATGCTTTTACAATTACGTAGGTTGATATGTAAGCATCATTGAAATGCGTTTATTTTAATTTTTTTAATGGTTCTATTTCAGAAATTCTAATTTTTCTCTAGGTTAACAGTAATTAGTGTGTGCATTTTTTTTGTTTTACGATAATCTCTAGAAAAATAAGTTTAATGTTTAAAAACATTTTCAATGCTGTAGTACCCAATCAATGACCAAGGACAAACGTTTGTAACGTTAGTTTTACCATGAAACCATGAAATATCAACATATTTTTCTTCAATCAATTTAATTTTGACAACTTGACAAAACAACAAACGCCTTTGTATCTGTTGGATTTTCTGTAGTAGGGAACATAAATGTAAAATTAATGTCTTAATTTATCTTTAAGTACGAAATTAACTTAAGGAGGTTCGATACCAAAAGAAAAATGGTAAGAATGTTTTCAAAGCAATTGATATCTGTTAATAAATATGCTATAACTGACTTGTGTAAAAATATCAGATCGATTGACAACGTAGTTTTTTTGAAAAATGAATTTAAAAATTATGCTCTTTTACACAGGCTCTTATGGGAGTTGGGAAAAAACTTTAATCAAACGTGAATATTGCTCTTAAAAATGGTTAGGATCGGGAAAATAAAATTGTAATTAAAGAATTAAATATTACTAAACATTTTAAGGCAATAAAAATATGCACTTACAATGTAATTATTGAGATAATGGAATGAATAGATAACGTTTTGACAAATTTGAACAAACATCTGATCCAATGAAAGGAAATATGGCAACACTGTACGCTGTATTTAATGCTTGGACTGATGCGTTATATTTGAATAGCTCAATTATAGATTATAAAATTATTCCAGTCGAAAATATATGTAGTAATAATTAATATTAAATAAATTTTTCGTGATCTAAAGCAATATACTAGCAATTTGAAACAAAAATTGAAAGGATCTCTTTGCAAAACGAACAGCTTAGTTGTTATGTCATAATCTTCAATTTGACAAGTCGACGTCTCACTATCATACATTGAACTTCTTGATAGTTATCATATGGATTCTCGGTTTGTACATTTTATTTTTTTCTCATCAATCCACATTCTGTTTTACACTCATTTTATACTTTTCAGTCATTACTTTTCCTTTGTACTTTGGTTGTTCATTCATGTTTACGGAATTCGCGCAAAGTTGACAGTAATGAGTTGACCCAACTTTTACCACCACGCCATGGCAATGTTGCCAGATTTCATCCATAATTTTACAAGTTCGTAATGAATAAATAGACGCTTTTATTCAAATAAAAAGTGAACTGACGTGTATTAAACACGAAAAAAATATGCAAGCTAATATGTGTTGTATAAATTTCATTCTAAATAGCATACTTAGTTCGCTGAAATTAATTTATGTAAGGTTGGTACTGCAACAAGACTCCCGTGTATAAACATAGGCATACTCTCCGCTCGTCCTTAATACTCCTCCAATGATATGTACCTAGGTAATTGTAAAAAGTGAAAATGAAACTACTGAAATAGATTCAATATGTTTTCATCAATTGGTATTTAACAAGAAACAAGTTAAAAAAATGGAAAAAGTGCTTTTTTTTGTCTTTTACCGTCGGCGTCGCGTATGTATGTATACGTTTGATCTGAGAGAGTCTGTATACGCGTTGCGCGTCATCCCAGCAGTAAAAAATGGCCCTTATCTATTTTGCAGGACCAAATGCGCCCACTCTCAGCAAAATTGATGGTGTTCCCTTAGGATACACTTCCACATCCGCCTAATGGGTGCTCTCCACCAGCGAGACTATGGCAGCATGCGACCCAGTTTCAAATTTGTCACAATTCCAACGTTAAGCTGCGTAATATTGATCGTTTCTCCACGCAGGGCTCCTGCGGGCTTGCAGGACCCAAAAGCAAGATAGGATCCGAGGGAGGAATTTGAGACGAAAACGTTTATTTCTCTATTTGAAGTTCTGCTCGTTCTGTTTGAAGGAACGTTGGGTGTTGATGGATCTGATGCTGGGAGATGGGGGCATATGGCGCGGTTCAAATTTCGCTTTGCTATCTCGGTTATTACAGCCAACCGGACTGCGACGTATTCTGTTTCACGAGACGAAATGTATAAGGGACTTTATCATAAAATAGTTGGAGTTTATGTTCGGCAATTTATAGTAGATAGTTATCTTAGAAACGGTGATTGTTGGAATAAATTTAGTTTTTTCTTCTCCGTTAAACATTTGTCGCATATAGGATGTCCAAAATATCAGAAGGGACAAATTAAATTCTAAAAATTTTTTTTAGGTGACGATAATAAAACACATTCTGCCGCTATAAACCTGTCCAGAAAATGACTTAAAGTACAAAAATTTGTACAATTTTAATTACCAACTACACGTGAAAAATACCTTATAAACAATTACTGTTATTAACCTCTCAGGTGGAANTCTAAAAATTTTTTTTAGGTGACGATAATAAAACACATTCTGCCGCTATAAACCTGTCCAGAAAATGACTTAAAGTACAAAAATTTGTACAATTTTAATTACCAACTACACGTGGAAAATACCTTATAAAAAATTACTGTTATTAACCACTTTCAGGTGGAATTTCCAATAAATGTTTGAGCTGGGATCATCGGTGACATCCTTCTGGGTCCTTATGCCATGCTGCGCCGCTTGAATAGCGAAAATTATTTCAATTTTCTGACGAATACCTTTCCGTTTCTAATGGAAGATGTCCCTCTCGATCTTCGTGCTCGGATATAGTTTATGCACGATTGTGATCCTCTGCACTTTAGTGCAAATATAACTGCACATTTAAATAATACTTTTCCACACAAGTCGATCGGAAGAAGAGGGAGAGATGTTCCTGCCGAATGGCCCCCCAGGTCCCCCGGCTTAACGCCATTAGATTTTTTTCTATGGGGAGCCTTGAAAAATAAAGTTTACGCTACTTCTGTGGAATCCCAGGAAGAATTATTGCGTAGGATTCAAACCAAGGCACACGTAATACGGAATGATCCAAAAATGTTAAGGAGGACTCAATTCAAATTCAATCGAAGGATCCAGCAATGCATCCAAGAAAATAGGAAGCATATCGAACATGTCTTGTAATTCCACCATCATCTATCGTATTTATGTAACTATCATCCAGTTTCAATAAAAAGAATTATGTCTTTCCTAAATACCTATGTCTTCACATTTTTTGTGTTAACAAAAAAATAAATCTAATGCAGTAAAATGATATTCAATCCATCGCATTGCGACATACTTTAAAATTACGACCATTTTACTTTCAATATTGATATCCTAGGTTAAAAGAATTGGCAATTATTATTAGAGAAAGCTGCTCCTTGTAAAAGAGCAGATTTACTGCGATACATCTAAAATTGTTAAGTCGCAACGAAACAGAAAACATTTATTGCGTAAAAACTATGAATGCCACAAGATTTTACCAAGATACTTACTACGATAATAGTGACTGTAGTGAGTATTTGTTGTACTTGAGTACTAGTGATAATGATTGTCTAAAATTGAAAAAAAATTTTGTGTAAAAACTATGAATGCTACAAGATTTTACCAAGAGCACGAACATCTTGAAAAAGGACTGATGCATCAATAAAAATAAAATGAATTAATTCCAGCGACCAAATAAAAAGTTCTGGTAATTCTTGCACCATGACACTCAAGAGTTTACCACTAGCCCAAGGCGGATGGACGCGGTTGCTTCATCAAAACATGAGTCTTACTTAGGAACAAGTCCACAGCAAGTTTCATTAAAATCCATCGTAACATTCTCCAGATATTACAAAAAACATATTTTTTTACAAGAACTTTGACAGTCGATAGCAGAGGAACCAGACATTTTTTCTTTATGGAAGTTTGGTCAAATCGTCTTCTTTTGAGCCAAAGAATGTAGCAGTACCTTTTTGATCATGTGCTTATGGGA